CTCTCTCTCTCTCTCTCTCTCTCTCTCTCTGCCTGAAAGATATTGAAATCAATTAGTTGATGTAAGTTCTTCAGGGCAGGGACTGTTGCAGTGGATGTCACATTTGTCTGCAGTAATATAAGCATACTGACTTCATAACTCACGGCTATCTGACTGGTGGCCCATGGAGCATATGCAACCTGTGAGGGGTATAGTTGCAGCCTCCAGGCTCCTGCCCAGCTACCACACTGGCTGTAACACCAGTTGGAGTTCCCAGGCTCCCCTTCCCTCTTCTCGCTTTTGCTGCCTACTCCTGACCCAGGGGGTGGAGGAGTGCAGTGCAGTGCAGCACAGCTTAGAGCTGAGTGCGAGTTTGGGGCCATGCAGACATGCAGTGCAGTGTGGGGGGAGGGTCTGCATAATGTGCGAGGCTCTTGTGGTGCAGCAGGCTGGGGGAAGCTCCTGCACAATGTGGGGTGTGGCAGGGGAGGGTATCATCCATGGGGCATATGGCCATGAGGCTTGTAGGCCACCCCAGGGCAGCCTGTAGGCTTATGGCTCTTGCGGTGTGGCCCGCAGGGTGTTTGGCTCCAAGCTGCTTAGGAAACGGACAGCCCTGCTATAACATTAGTACTCTGGGCCCTGGTCAGGGAGGTCAAATGACTGTGTAGTTATACTGGATTATTAGACTTTTCAGCATGAATGTGTTGAGTTAATTTTAAAAGCAGCTATTGGTGATGGGAAAGAGCCTACGTCAGGGCTCACCCAGAAGTTACATACCTGTTGTGCCAAAGCTGGGAAGCTAGACATGCTCTTAGCATCATTTTAATCTCTACACCAGGGATTGGTAACTTGCAGCCCTTGGACCGGTTCCAGCCACAGAGGTGGGGCTCCAGCAGCTTTCAGTGGTAGTGGAATTCGGCTGTGGGTGCTCTTCCCATGCTGCTGCAGGGCCAAGTGCCAGCTGTGTCAGGTTCCTAGCATCTGCCCACCCACTCACCTCTGACCTGGGGTGAGTCATTCCAGCTGGTGGCTGGAGGAAGTGGCCTACCCCTGCTCTACACAATCTCCATGTTAGGCCTGGAAGTGCTACTAAGAAGCATCATTGTCCACTTCTTCCCATTTGGTGCACATGTCAAGAATTAAAGGTTAGGCCAAATGCACCTGAAACAAAAACCTACGGAGCAGGGCCACCTTAAAACAGTTAAGTTACCTAACTTCCAGACCCTATTGCACTTGGGAATGAGTGGGCAGATCATGCTTCTCTGCTGTGCTCCCAGACTCTGCAAAAGCAGTGTAAATATACCCTAAATATTCAGAAGGTGTGAGGGGAGGGTGCTGATTCTGGTGAGAACAAACTGAGATGGCGCACAGGCACATCTCCTGGGCGTGTCTGAAAGTAACTGTGGCCTCTGAGTCTGACAGACCCATACATAGGTCCTTATTCTTTTAGCTGCTGAATTGCTTTCGTTCTAAATAAAATACTACTTCGGTGTTTGGTAACCCAAAATAGTTATTACACCTTCTGAAGGGAGTAGAACTGCACTGCCAAACTCAAGCCAGACCTGCTGAGATAGTTGTAATCTGTATGCAGGGGATTGCAGTCCTAAAGCCTGACTCCATCCAAAGCGAGGTGATAGCATGAAGCTGAAGTTCTGAAATGGGATTTGTTCCAAAAGGGAGGTGGGTAAGAAGTGTGGTTAGTGACAGCTGTCAAAGCTACATGCTCATTCCATTGAATATAGTGCCTTATTCAGTGAAGTCCTTTACAGCAATAAAAAAACAAATAAATTTGCCAGTAGAGTAAATGGATAGCAGTGAAGAAAACAGACTTCTTTTCAATACTGATAATAAATTACTTAACCACAATGTATAGTTTGCAAATGTCAGTGGGAGAGGGTGGAGGGAGCTGGTAACTACATTTCAACCTCTGTTTGTCAAAGACTTGCCACGGATTAGGACTTCCCTAGTTTGCAGTAGGGATCCAGACCAGCATCTGGTAACCCCCAAATATGAGTGGAGACATGACATGAAGCCTCCTGTC